CTTTGTAGGCTAGCATTAGCACTTTGTAGGCTAGCATTAGCACTTTGTAGGCTAGCATCAGGGTTTCGGACCGCCTGACTCCGGGTTTTCTCCCCCCCCTCCAGCTGAGTTCCTCTTCCTGCTGTGGGCGGTGTACCTGTGCTACGCCGTGAGGACCGTCCCCTCGGCCTTCCACGAGCCTCGATACATGGCCATCGCCGTTCACAACGAGCTCGTCCTGTCGGCCATTTTCCACACCATCAGGTAGCGCGAGAGTCACAGATGTTTGCATGATTTTTGTGTGATTTTCGTGTCATTTTTCTTTGAAGCCCAAAAAGCCTATAAAAGGAGACAAAACCACCAAAAAGAGGCACAATCAAATCAGAAATGCAGATAAACATACAAAATTATTCAAAAGAAACAAAAAAATGTTGACAAATAACATAAAAAGATATAAAAAAACACCAAAAAGATGTATAATATAACCCCGAAGTCAGAAAATGACCAAAGAGATCAAAATTACAAAAACACGAGACATGGGACAAAAAATTCTTGATAAAAGACACAATGGACGTATACGATTATACAAAACCTTCACAAAGACACATAAATAAACCACATAGACATAAATGAGTTAGTCTAAATTTTGTATTCTAACAAAAATAATTTTATGTGGTTTCAGGAAAGAAACAAAAAAATGTTGTAAAATAACATAAAAAGATATTAAAAAAACACCAAAAAGATGTATATGTAACTCCGAAGTCAGAAAATGACCAAAGAGATAAAAATTTGAACAAAAACACAAGACATGGGACAAAAAGTTCTTGATAAAAGACACAATGGAGGTATAAGATTATACAAAACCTTCACAAAGACACATAAATAAACCACATGGGCATAAACGAGTTAGTCTAAATTTTGTATTCTAATAAAAATTATTTTATGTGGTTTCAGGAAAAGACAATTTTACAACCTTGATTGTCTTATTTTTCTGATCTTTGTTTTGCTAAATTTGACATTTCAAATCCAGGAAATTACTCTTAGTCTTGTAAAAACGAGTTTCCTGTGTGTACTTTGAACTATCAGCCAGAGGTGCGTTTTCAGGCTCAAACCACTCAGAATTCAGGCTCTTTTTTGCTCTTCCAGGTTCACTTTGGCTCCTGAACTCCATCCCGACTGGATGCTGCTTCTCTTTTTCGCTCACACCCACCTGACTGTCACCGTGGCACTCGGATTACTCCTCATTCCCAAGGTACAACCAAAAAAAAGGAAAAAAACCTGAATAAATCCACCTGAAGGTCAAAGGCTGATTAGTTTGAAACCTCAGAGGGTTTTGATTTGGTCTAATCAATATATATGTAGAATCATATATATGTATATATGTATATATGATATAGAATATATCATATATATTATACATTATATTATATGTTATATTATATATGATATTTATTTATATTTATTATATTTATTATTATATTATATTTAAATATATATTCATTTATAAATATAAATGAATTTATATATATATTAAATTATACTATTATTATAAATTATATTAGACTCTAATTGTTAATCAATAAATATATATATTTATATATTTGTTAATGAATAAATATATATATTTATATATATTATATGTATATTATATTATACATTATACTATTATACATATATATATACATATATAATATTTATGTATAATCATATATTATAATCATGTATTATATCATAAATATAATATATACAAATATTGATTTCCCTACAAAACAAACATGACAAGACACCCATGACAACTTGAGAGTCGGTCTGAGCTGCTCTGTTAGGAAAGCTGGGAAATAACTGTTGTTGGGATGTGGGGCTATATAAATTGAATTGAATTTATTTGAATTGAGAAGGCAGTTTTTCCTTCCCTGTGTCGCCTAGTCCTGCTTTTGGTTGGGCTCCATGTTCATCTGTAAGTAACTTCAGAGTAGGGTCTGACCTGCTATGTTTTGAAAGCTGGGAGATAACTGTCGTTGGGATGTGGGGCTATATACATTTAATTTAATTTAATTTAATTGAGAATGCAGTAAAGCTGGGAGTTAACTGTCGTTGGGATGTGGGGCTATATACATTTAATTTAATTTAATTTAATTTAATTTAATTTAATTTAATTTAATTTAATTTAATTTAATTTAATTAAGAAGGCAGTTTTTCCTTCCCTGTGTCGCCTAGTGCTGCTTTTGGTTGGGATCGTTGTTCATCTGTAAATAACTCTGTAAATAAAGCTAGGAGATAAATAACTGTTGTTGGGATGTGGGGCTATATAAATTGAATTTAATTGAATTGAGACCATATTTGTTAATCAATATATATATATTTATATATTTTTTATTTATATTTTTTTATACATTATATTATACATTATACATATATAATATGTATAATCATATATTATATCATAAATATAATATATACATATATTCCCTACAAAACAAAACAGGAAACGTGATCAGACACCCAAGACAACTTCAGAGTCAGTCT